GTGATTTGTCATAATTGTGATGATTATGGCTTACAGCTCATGAAAACCCCAAGAACCCCAAATCCACAACCTCAAAAAAGTAGATTATTACATGCAATCAATAAAACAAGGATTGTACATAGAACAATATCGGACCTCTGAAAAGTACAAGCATGCATATGTACTCAGTACTTGGTTTGGGCCCCTTTTGCAGCAATTACTGCAATTACTTTTGCACAATATTCTAATTAATCGAGTTTCACCTGTAATAATCAGAATAAAGATTATTTAGTATTATTGGGGCCCCTTTCCACCGCAGGCACTATAACAAAGCCCCCAGTATTGGCCCTTTTGCTGGCCTTAATTTGTGTATACATGTTTCTATTTTTTTCTTTACTTCATTCAACCAGCAGGTTGAATGAAGAAATACAACAGATTACTCTATTAATGAATAACGAATGTTAACTCTATTAACATTTACAAGTGTTGATTAAGGAATCTCCTGCTAATTACTTTGGGTATTCTGACAGCCAGCTACCCAAACAGGGCTGAAAGCTTATTGGCTCCTCGCTTGTTCAGCAGAGAATTTTCTGACTTGCTCTTTCCAACAGCTGATCGAGGGATGCCAGTTAGAAAAGTGTCGGTGCCCAAGATTCGAATCTCGGCCGGTTCATTAAGAACCAGACGAAATCTGAACCATTTATAGCTGGATTTAGTTCAAAGGTCATGCAGTGTGTTATGGATAAGGAATTCAGTCTGGTGAATTACGCAGGGTTCGCCTCAAATCCATGGTGGCAGTGAGTCCGAACCTCATCTCTAATCAGGTTCATGGCACTGTGCAATGCAGTTAAACCTAATTAATTAACTAACAGTTCTGACATTTCTTTTCCCTGTGTGAATGCTGATATGCAATGGCAATGGCAAATGGCTGTGGCAAAGACAGGCTGAGATGAATGTAAAAATACATTTACCGTAAGTAATTCAATGGATGCATAACTGAATTTAATAGGGGGTATTATCTATCTCTCTACACTTAACACTTTAACAAAGAGATCTGTTCAAATGCATTTCCAGAGCAGCTCCGATGTTCCAAGTATTGGAACACCGGAGCTATATAACTTGCCAGTTATATTTGTTTTGTTTTTTTAAATTCCTGACTCTTGTTTCTGGGATAGATTTTGTCCTTTCTTACAGCTATGTGTAACCATTGACAAGAGTTTATGCATTTCTTTTTTATGTAATGTAAACTTTTTACAACTGTTTTCTTTTTTCTACCGTACCCCCACAGAGACATATCCATTGCTATGACAAATTGTGATTTGTGAATCTCAAAGAAAAGTAAGATAAGTCATTTATTTTACCCATTGTGTATAATTCACAGCTATTTTTGACAAAGGTTTGTGTGTTTCTAAACCTAGTTATACTATACCTGAAAAGGGGCCCGCTCTCATCCCATTGCACGTCCAACTGATAACACCTGTCACAGCTTTCTGTGCTAGCGTTATCTAAGCTACATTCCTTAAACTGAATGCTTTAGAGCTTGGGAAATATCAAACAAAGAAGCATACAGGACATAACGCTACTTGGTCCTGATCTGTGCAAATGGCATCTTGATACACGGGAATGGTTTCATTTTTAGATATCACAATTATGTAGCTTGCTGAAAGACATCTGTAATATTCAAGTCATAAGTGTTAGCTTGCTAACATTCTTATCAGTGGATCATCACTTTTGCATAGCCATAGCTATTATAACAATATAGGAGCCCTTTACTGAGGAAAAAAAAGAAGGATTTAATTGCTGATCTCTCCTTCTAAAAATGCTATTTGTCTGGTTATCAAGCTAATGCAATGGCATTTCTACTTTCTTGGTCACTGGGGTTGATTTACTAAAGGCAAATAGGCTGTACACTTTGAAGGGGAATTTGCTCTTTGCACGAGAATTTTCTCTTAGCTTAGTGAACCTGGTAAAAAATTAACTTTGCAAAAAAGTAAAAATAAAATTGGATGGATTAGCCTACTTGCCTTTAGTAAATTGACCCCAATGACTTATAATAGGTAAGCAGATGAGATGGCATGACTCCACTTGCTCTGGGACAGTGACCAAGAGACAACTAAACCCATTGACTCACCAAGATAGGCAGGTAGTTGGAACTTTTAGGAGGTGGTCATCAGTGACAGCTTTTTTTTTTTTTCGCTTTATACAAGTTTCAGCTGGTCTTACAAAGAGGCTGTTGCACAGTACAAACAATATCAACACAGTTGTTTAACAATGTCACTGTAGGGAAGAAAATATTGTAAGGACTCTGTAAAAACAAATGATTCCATCCATCCATGTTTTTTTCTGAATAGATTAGAAGGATTAGTGCGATGGGGGATTGGTCTATGTATGGGGGGTGATCCAAAAAGGTTAGGATGTCATATTAAGCAGTTTGGATCCTGGTTTTATTAGTACCTCCAATTTTTCAGATATAGTTGTCAGTGAGCTTCACTTCCTCTTTGAGCTTTATTGCTTTAAGAAGAGATTGTTTTTGGAAATTTTCTGTTCTCCTCAGCTCAATTAGAAAATATGTGCTACTGCTAACGCATTCTTTTTTTAGAAGCTTAGTAGCTCATACCAGGATAGAAAGACAATCTTTCAAAGTTTTGCTCATATGGAAATGAACAATTAGATTGCCATTCATGCAAGACAAATTGAATCAATTCATAAAAAAATGTATGAGGAAACTCCTTACATTTATTTTGCAGTGATATTTCAGATCTTCAATATACCTTTTAAAGTTTATTGACATAGAAATGTGTGTACTCCATGACACATCATACAATTAAGGTGAACATTATTGTATGGAAACACATCATCTTGTATCAGTCATGTTGTACTGGACATTGTAGGAACAATTAATATTGCAAATGTGATTTATTATTACCAAATCTGAGAATAAGATTTATGTTTATAGTTAATAAATAGTTCTTCTGATATAGTGGTTTATGGATTATTGTGGTAGATTAATATATGTACTGCTCACCTTCTTGATACCTGGTGACCTGAGACGTGCCCCTTCGCCCTCAGTGAAAGCCTGGTTGATGGCATATTGAATAGCAAGGCCTGTCATTGTACCGGTGGACAGAGGCTGGATTTTTTTGACTGCCTGAAGTAATGCAGCTTTTGTCTTGTGAGTTTTGAGAGAGAACTCATTTTTGACAGAGCTGGCATAATTGAGGACTCCAACTCTTGTAGAATTTACACCGACATCCAGAGATTCGATGACCTGAGACAAGAAGTCCTTCACTCGTTCGAATTCAGAAGGTTGTACACTACGTGAGCTGTCTATGATGAATACCAGGTCAGTTGGATGAGTCCTGCAGTTTGGGCCTTTGTTGGATGAGAGGCAAAAATAAACAAGACATTGTCTGTGTCTTAGTTATCTGGTAAATTCAATAACATAAACTCTTTTATAGTTCTCAGCTGTCTACAGTCAGCAAGACACATTAAATCATAAATGAATACAACTGAAAGAAGATCTTTGTGGGGTACACACAGCAACAGAGCCACTTTCCATAAAACTACTGGTAAAACATTCAGTCATTTTCAAAATGGGGTTTGCGGGATACAAGACTGATGATTGTGATCTGCCCACTAACTGTGACAATATCTCATTAAAGAAAACTAATTTCTAAAGCCTAATGCACAGAAGTATCAGCTTGAGATAAACAGTGATAATATTTTAAAAATAAAGGTCAAAATCAACATGTTTGTACCGTGAACCGATTTAATCCGTACGATGCTTCATTTGTTATTCCACTGTGTTATGTATGGCTGTGGTCATTAGTAAATGGCAGCATATTCCAGTGCAGGCTGAATTCATTTTAAAACCTGATCTCCATATTGGGTTCCAAAAAGCTGGCAAACACCTTACACCTTGCAATGCCTTAACTTGTTTCTTGACTAAATAGAAGTGACAAAAACCTGGAACATTCTTTCAGTTGTGGGATTTATCCACTTGATAATATTTATCTGTTTATACTTAGTATAAACCATCTTTATACTTAGTAATTGAAAAATAGCATGCAAATGATAATATACCTTTATGAACCTAAAATTAGTATTAACATGATTGTTTCACATAATAAAGTATTTCTATGCCACAAATTGCTGTCAATACACTACACAAATCTTTAAATAAAAGCGCCTGTTGTATTAATTGCTATGAGAAGAAAGATATCGGCAACAACTGATGTGAACACTTAAAATCAATATTTTTTTAATCTATTATACCCACTTACAGAGGGCAGGATCAATGTAAATTATGACTACACTAAATCTATGAAATGTTCATACAAGCAGTGTATTTCACAGAAGCCACTGAGGATTTGAATTCTGACCTAACTATACACCACACCAAGCTCTGTGTAGTCATTAAGATGCAGCCTTCAAACTGTTAGCACATTCTTGGTGTTGAATCATCATTATTAAAAAATCTGAAAACATAATCTTAGAAACCATCTATAAATCATAAGGAAATCATAACAATAAACAACAATAACAATAATGGTTGCAATAAAAATAATAGTAATGCACAAGATAATTATGCAAATGTATATACATAAATAATCTATACATATTGCATAATTAGAATAAGTATTACTCTAATTATTGCAGATCTCCAGATTTTCCTAAATCATATGAGCAAATGTGACATTTTCACAATAAATTTCCCTACTTGGAAATGTCAACAGCGTCATTTGATAGAGACTAACCTAGGTTAAGCTTCTAATAATAACAGGCCAAAAACAAGCTAATGTAAGAAAACGTTCCAACTCTTCTAAAATGATAGAACTTTTTTCTTCAATTTCAGGTATTTCAAATAATAGGGACAATTTAATAACACCGTTTGAAGAGCAATGGTGTACAGTAATTGTTGCTGAAATAATTTGACAGTATAAAATATATTATTTTGTACATTTACAGTTTATTGAGGTACACTTAGGATACATAGATGTAGAAAGGGGATTCATATGTGTATTTTACAATTATTTATCTTTTTGTAATGTGACAATATCACCTTTAATGTAAACCTGTACTGCAGATAGCTAGTAGGCACTAGAATTTGCTACAACATACCTATACTGTCACAGTACAACTTTCCATATTGCCACTTGAGCTTCCTGAAAACCCAAACTTTTGGATATGGGGAATATAATTATACTTTCTGCTCACACAAGGCAATGGTTTCACCTGGGCACCAGGCATGAGCATTGTCAACGTGGATTTGCATAAAGCTATCAAAATAGTGACTTTCCGAAAGTAAATGCAAAAGGAGCTGTGCTGTTATAGTACAGGTGTGTTGCAGCACATTAGGGTGTCTGCTAGGTAATACAGTCTTTGTTCATTTTGATTGGACGTGTAGAAGTTTAAAAAAAATATACAGTCTTAATCATATCTTCATGGTTTGTAATAGAAGTTTAGATTTCAAAGTATATCTTTGTAAAGGGTCTGCCATTGCCTCTAAAGCTGTAGGAGACATGCTATGTCTATGGATGTCCGGATCGCTTAAGTTTATAACATGTTGAAGAGATGTGGTCAGATGTACAGGAGATGATTTATTTTTTGATTTAAGAATGACTGTTGGAGGACCACATAAACAATGTATGTTTTCCTGAAATTACATAGTGTGGTATGATGTGAATCATATATTTGCAAATTTGGAGCAACAATTAAACTTGAGTATCAGGTACACTTAAAGCATGTACCTATATACATGTAGATTACAAGTACTTTAAGGTGTTCCATGATTAACCTTTCTCTTTTTTCACAAGATAATATGCACTGTGCAAAGTATAGCAACCCAGAGAAACCAATTAGAACACATTTACTGATCTGATTTAGGAAAACTGTAAATTCATTGGTTACTATGTCTTATTGTACTTTTCAAATTTCTATCGCAGTTTGCACTGCCTTACTGTACATGGCTGCTAATTTATTTTTATTCTCCAAAACATAGCTTGTTGCAGTTTACTATGAGTAATAATTTTTGCTTAACTAAAATATCTATCCAGCTACAATTGTATAAATGAACTCAAATATAAACCAACTAATTTGTTTGAATTTTAACTAAATTGTTAGAAGCACCCCTTCTACCGCTTCAAAGTGCCTAATAGTAGTTCTTGTTCTTTAAGTTACAGTGCTGAGGTTTAAAAAATAGTATTCTGGATAAATGTTTTACCGATGCATTGTCTACACGTTTGTGCTGAGGCCATTAAAAATTAAATAGAACACTTACCCCTTTGCTGCTGTGGAGGTGCTCCCACTGCAAAATAGGCATAGCAGCTGAAGAGCAGAAGAGCCGAAAGTAGACAGGTCTTCATGATGTCCAGAGGGAAGTCAGAAAGCAAAGTGAAGATAATGGAATGGGTAATTTGTGTTCAACGTATCTTACTTACGTCCCTCCAGGTGTGCCTCCCAGTTAAGTGACATAGAGGGATGGAATGGGTGGGGACTGGCTTGAGGGAGGTGAATTAGGAGGAGGAAGATTAAGGAAAGTATATTTAAGGTTTTGTAATATTGGTTTTCAACACATTAAAGTTAACTCTTTCATTTACTTGACTTCACTTTACTATAGCAAAGTAGTGGGTACAAGAGAAACTCTTGAAGCATGTTTAAAACAGCTGTGTTAGAGATCGCCTAGACATAACATAACGATAGGGAATTTAATAGCGGTGGCTGTTCACCTATCCAGTGCTGAATCTTAGTTTAGATAGCTGAGCTGGTGAGGGCACCCAGAGGACCAGCTGTGGGCTCTGTTTTCCACCAGTCTAAGAAAAGTGAATGAAGGCACGGAATGCTTGTCGACTGCAGCTGGTAGTTTTACTACTAATGGTAATCAGGTGAAAGCACCTAAATGAGAGCCTTTCAGTGTAACTTATAAATGGAGTCCTGTATCTGCAGGGAAGACATAAAGATCTCTGTTCAGGATCACGGCTAATTCCAGCTTTAGCACACAAAGTATCTGCGTAGCCTTCTGCGCCACTATTCAAGACTACGGAGCATCAGTGCAATAGAGCTCTACAAGCAACTGAAATAGACTATAGCAACCATTTGTAGCACATTTGCTCTGTGGTGACACATAACAAGTTAAAGAAAAGTTTGACCTCAGAAACCTTATTTTATTGAAAGTCTGTGATGTTGTGTTATGCTTTTATTTGACAACTCAAACAAAACAGCAACTGTTCCCATTTATACACAGAACTTACAAGTTCTCCTTTCTACACAGCCAGTAGCTTTAATCACTTTGTATACTTTACTTTTCCTCTTTTCCCTCCATATGACTACTCCCTATATTTAACTCCTGCCATCTGCAGTGAAGCAGATTTTTTTTAATGTGATCCTTGATTGAAAACCATGTTGCGATAATGAGCTTAGTCAGTACAGCAGAAAACAAAACAGCATACATACAGTCATGCATGTACACTAGCACACAAATACACCACCCTACATACACTACACGTACACTAGTTGAAGGCTGAGATATTAACACAAAATATTATTAAATAATATTTTTACTGAGAGAACTATGAAGGTTGCCATTGTAGACCTTTCCATTTGAAAATGTCAGTTGTTTGGCTGCCATGATGTTTCAGTGGCTATAACACTTTCTGTGTTGCTGACCTGTAACAAGTAGGGATGAAATTCAGGTTCAACCCAAACCCAGCTTGTTCACAGTTCAGTGAACAAACTGACCGTGCTGTTTCTTTTTCCTGAAACAGCCTGTACCATTTAAAAAACAAAGAAACAAAAAAACACAAGAGTGTGGGGTACCCATAAAGTTTAATAGACCCTTATCCAAGCATGCAGCCTAGATTTGTGCATTTTCATTGTTGTCCTTTAAGCTGCAATAAACCAGCCTCTCCTTGCTAAATGGTATAAAAAAATTGCAATGGAACGTGTCCCCAATGGCCTTTTTTTAACAATAGCTTGTGCATTGGCTTTAGAAAATGGTGTTTGGCGCTAAGTACGTGGTTAACTGACTTTTTGCTAGGTATGCGGAACCCCCTGTGAAGCGAACGTTGCCCGATTTGCTCATCCCCAGTGACAAGTATGCAGATTCGGTTTCACTGTGATTTTGCTTACTCTATTCTTGTTCCAGATCACAAAGTACAGTTCTGGCACTAGGGATGGTCTGCCGGTTCGATTTGAACACGAGTTCGAATCGAACATTGGCTGCAGAACGCCATGATTGGGCAAATCATGTGGGCATCCACTTTATGGGATGTTCGCGGTCTGTTTGATCGCACAACGTCCCATACTGCAAAGAGCCCTCCGAAGCTCTAATTGGCTAAAGACTTGCACCTGACCTCGGGTCAGGTGCAAGAGTTTGCCCAATCAGGGCTCAGTACTCATTTGGAGCCATGATTGGGCATGAGAGTCATGATGACTCTGCCCAATCATGTCTCGCCCATCAGATGACTGTCACCGCTAGCTCCGCCCAATTGTTTGTTTTGCCGGCATCTGTCAAAATGCCATTATGCGGCGGGAGTCGTGGGGTGCGGACGGGATGGCGGCCGGCGTTTTTAAATTTTTTAAAAATTATTTATATTTATTTTTTATTGTTCTATTTTTTATTTCGTCGTCGTGCACAACGCTGGACGTCGTGATTGACCTTAGGATTATGTCGGTGTATCTATTTTTTGTTTTTATTTTTTTAAATAAAAGACTTGTCAAAAACATGTCTTTTGTTTTTTTCAATTAAACAATTTTTTCGAACGTATGGCATCTTTCTTGCAATTTGAATTTAACCCTTTAGTGAATGGGTGTATAACCGTTCGGGTGTTCGAATACGAACCGAAACACGGGGGTGTTCGGCCCATCACTAACTGGCACCAGAATCAGTCAGTTGACTGATTTTGTGCTGCAGAAATAGTACCTGGAATATGGTTGGTTGCTGTAGACTAAGTTTTTCTATAGTTTTATAAAACATCCCCAGTATATTTCCATACTAATTCACTTTCTGCTATTATCCCAAGACTGGCTGCTAGACAGGTCCCAGACTCCGGAGTGGAGGAGGAGAGAGGCTGCTGGGACCGATCTAACAGCCAGGTGGGGACGAGGTTCAGGTGAGTATATCTTTTTTATTTTACACGCTAGACCCAAATGAGCAGTTAACCCTTGAAGTGCGGGGGTAGCCCCACTGCAAGGGTTAGTTTTCTTTATGTTTCTGCTAAAATAAATAAGTAAATAAAAAAAAGAAAGGGGTTTGGGTTATAGTGTTTAATGGTTGGTGTTTGGGGTTTAGTGTTTTATTTTTATTTTTGGAGGTAGGTATATTTTATTTCTATATAATTTTAATAGGGTTTTTTTTTGTTTCAGGAAACTTGTTGGTGACACAGACAAAGCTGTCCTTTGTTAACAGCACATTAGTGCATACTATTGCGATCCAGTTTACTGCACAAAATCACCAAGTTGTTCTGCGCACCAAAGCACCGCATCCTCCACCCCCCTATTGCCGTAGCTGCTAATAAAATTAGCCAATCCCCTGTTGTCATCATGCCTGGGATGCCTAAAGGGAAAGGCAAAGGTTCTTTACACACAGCTAGTAGGGGGCAAGCAGATTCTACAACTGTAAGCCAGGGCACCACGTTTTCTGGCAGTGGGCATGCTGTGCAGTCAGAGCATCCAAAGAATGTGGTGGAGTGGATAACCAAGCC